GGGAGATTAAAAGAGATTATTATGCTAAACAATGTTACCTTATTTCATCAAAGATTCATATGCCACTTCATCCACAAAAAAAAAAAAATCATATGCCTACATAATTTCAACTTTAGTGTGAATTCTCAAACTAAAAGACGAAATACTATACTTACATAAGCAAAAACTCATACTCTGATTAGTCTTATTGACTGACGTCTCAAATCAACAAAAATGCAAATCAGCCCCACAAAATTATAACTGAATAGAGAGAAAGAATTGAGAGATTCATATGTTTGTATAATTCCAATTTTAGTGTGAATATCTCCAATTAAAAGACGAAAATACTATACTTATATTAACAAAAACTCATATCATATTTCTCTTATTGAATGACGCCTCAAATAAACAAAAGTGCAAATCACCTCAAAAACTGAATAGAGAGGAAGAATTGAGAGGTTTTTTTTCTATCCAATGTTACACTATTTCTTCAAGGATTCATATGTCACTTTATCCCACAAAAACTCCATATGCCTACATAATTCCAACTTTAATATGAATATCTTCGACTAAAAAAAGAAATATTATACTTACATTAGCAAAAAACCATACTATGATTTGTCTTATTGAATGACACATCAAATCAACAAAAATGCAAATCGCATCCATAAATTTATAACTGAATAAAGAGGAAGAATTGAGAGATTAATAGAGAGATTATCATAAAGGTGTACTACAAAATTATACATGAATAGAAAGGAAGAATTGAAAGATTAATAGAGAAGTTATCATAGAGATATATCACAAAATTATACATGAATAGAGATGAAGAATTGAGAGATTATTATAGAGGTGTACCATGAAGAGAAGATGAAAAATTATAACCAAATAAAGAGAAATAATGAGAGTTAAAAGAGTAATTATTAGAGGGAACATGAATAGGTTGAAACAACCTAATTAAAGAATCTTAAATGTGAATATGAAACATAAAAAACAAATATTAAAGTAGGAGAAGCTTGAGAAAGGGAGAATAAAGATAAATCATTTTCTTGTTTTGAGAAGATATCACATCATTGTATGTGGTTTCTTCTTTAATATATATATATAGATGTGGGATATCTCAAACTCAACCACAATTCACCAGCACCTCAATACTTAATTCTCATGATGCCACCTCAATACTCTTGGTTCTTCATTTAATATATATATATATATATATATATGTGAAGATATAATAATATAATATAATTAATTTTGCACTATGAATTCTACCATTTGGTTTGATTGTTTTCCAACCATGGTTATAGATTTCAAAAGGGTCATCCAAAGAAAGACAACCCTATGAGGCAAACCTCATATTTGACACAAAGGCATCCAAATTCACCTTTCTTATACACTTTATTTTGTTCAAAATTTTCAACTCTTCACCAATGTGGGATATCTCAAACTCAACCACAATTCACCAACACCTCAATACTCAATTCTTATGATATCTCAATACTCTTCACCAATTCTTATGATATCTCAACACCTCAATACTCAATTCACCAACACCTAAATACACAATTCACCAACACCTCAACACTTTATTTTGTTCAAAGTTTTCAACTCTTCACCAATGTGGGATATCTCAAGTTCAACTACAATTCACCAACACTTCAATACTCAATTCTCATGATGCCACCTCAATACTTTTGGTTCTTCCTTTAATATATATATAGTTTTCAACTCTTCACCAATATGGGATATCTCAAACTCAACCACAATTCACCAACACCTCAATACTCAATTCTCATGATGCCACCTCAATACTCTTGGTTCTTCCATTAATATATATATAATCTTATTTTTATTATATACATTTATTTTGTAAAACCAAAAATGTTAATCGTATTCAATATTTTTTTTGATTAACCTGGATATCCAACCCGCTATGCGAGCCGACTAATTCTAGGGCGATAACCTGCTTTGCAGATAGCCTAGAGTCATTACATTTGAACCTCCATGGCCACAAGGGGATTTTTATTCCTTATTGGATTTGAACCTGAGACCTCCTGGTACTTTTGACCTTTGGAACCAAGCTCAAACCAATCAGACACCACCCTTATGGTTAATCATATTCAATATTTGTATCGTTTTAAGGGAATTAACGATAGTTTATTAATCAATGATATAATTTGTTAACTTAATAAATAATTTTTGGTTATAGATTCACATAAAATTGAATTTATGTATAAAAATACAATATAAGTATAGATAAAAATAAATAAGGGATAACTGAAAATTATTTCATAAATAAAAGAGTAAGGTGTAAATAAAATTTTAAATTACAGATGAACGTATCGTAGAGCTTTTATGTGACATCCACTTTTGGGAATGGAACAGGAAAGTCGTCGACTATGGTAGAGGTGGCGATGGACGATTGTTATGGAGATGGTGGAGAATGTTGTTGTAGAGGAAGAGGAGGTGGAGGTGGCCGACGGTGAGGACCGAAACTAACGGTGATAACTATTAAAACAAATATCATATCAATATTATATATCAAATTAGGGTAGATTAGTAATATTTTAGTTTTTATCTTAAACTTGTCCATCTTGTTTCACCTATTTTGGTGGAAAAAGAAAAAACCTCTTTTGTCCCATGTTGTCCCACTTTGTCCTAGTTTTTGTCTTGTTCCATGTCGCACCAAACGTGGAACAGTGATTTCTGTTCTGTCTCATGTTGCGCCAAACGTGGGACGGTGAGTTTTGTCTCGTCCTGTCGTGTCCCGTCCCATGTACCAGACACAACCAGATTTTTTTTATATAAATTAAATTAGAATATCAAATTTTAATACTGCTTATATTGTTAGACTTTCTCTTCTACTTTCTCTATTTTATTTTCATTAACATGAAAATCTCATATATACTATCTTAATAATTTTAAATTACTGATAAACTCATCATAATAAAATTGGTTTTTATAAGACCTCTTAATTTAGACTTAGGTTTATACGATCAAACTATGAAACGTCTTATCTAAAAACGTTGTTTTATAAAGCATTTTTAGACGTTTTAACAAGTTTTTCAAATAGCATGGTATAAAATAATTAATAGAAACCACAATAGTGGTGTCTGATTGGTTTGAACTTGGCTCCAAAGATTAAAAGTATCAGAAGGTCTCAGATCCAAATTCAAAAAGAAATAAAAATCAATTTATAGCCATGAAGGTTTAAATGCGATGACTTCGTACTATCTATAAAGTTGCGCGAGGAGGAAGAAGTCAAGGATAAGTGATGAAGTTATGAGAAGTGAATGATAAATGATGAAGCATGAAAAGGCCTTCCACCCTTTTCTTACACGTATCACACTCTTTCACCACGTGGAAGCCATTGAAGCTACCATCTACCTCTCCTCATCCACCTTATAATCCAAACATTTCCACACACAACAATGGCGGAAAGATAACCATCACGTCAGAAATCACAGGAAAACAACACTAAACCGAAGAACAGAAAGAAACAAAGAAGAAGAATCAAGGGTTCAACAATGGCAGCAATGCATTTCACAAGAGCTTCCATTTTCAACGTTTCTAAAGCAAACATACCTCGTTTTACTTCTCTTCCTTTCCCTCACAAACCCTCTAGGGTTTCCTTCACTTCTGCCTCCAAATTTTCACAGGTATCAGTCTGTTTTATGAGTAAAGTAGGGTTTATAGGATCATTACAACAAAATTGAGTTTATAGGATACTCTTAATTTCTAAGTGTCCCAATAGATCTTTTTATAACACTTAATTTATAAGACCAAAATATAAAGTGTCCTATCTAAAAGTGTTGTAATAAGTTTATATGACGTTTTTAGACGTCTTAACAAGTTTTTAGGACATTTTTAATACAAAGTGTTGCATTAACAGCTTTATAGGATACTTATAAAATCATTTTTATAGGACACTTGTTTTATAGGACAATTTTTCAAATAGTCTCTTATGAAGTTGATAATAAGACATTTTATATTAAAGTGTCTTAAAAAACTTATGACGACGTCAAAAAATGTGTATAAACTTATTACTAACATTTTTAGATAGGACATTTTATTTTTTTGTTCCTATTAACTAAGAGGTCTATTAGGACACTTAAAATTTTAGAGTGTCCTATAAACCCGATTTTGTTGTAGTGGATGTTGTCTTAGGGTTTGTTTGGTTGTGTCGTATATGGATTGATCCCTATAAGGAATTTCATTTTTGATCTCGTTTTTCCGTCGTTTGTGTTCTCAGAGAAAGCATGCAAGTGAAGAAACCAACCATGGCTATAACGACGATCATGAAGCAATCAACTACTCCGGCGATAAGTCATCGGAGATGGGACGAGATGCGAAGAACAAAATGTGGGAAGGTAAAGAGAGAATGAAAGAAGGTGCAAGAGAAACCAAGGACATGTCCATGGATGGCATGAAAGAAGGGAAAGAGAGGATGAAAGAAAGTGCTACAGAGATGAAAGAGAAAGCAAACGAAACGGCTGGAAAAGCAGCAGATCGAGCCGATGACATGAAAGAGAAGGCTAAAGAGAAGGGTCACGAGATGAAAGAAAGCGCTCAAGATACCGCTAACATGGCGGCACACAAGGCCGGGGAAGGGAAGAACAAGGCGGCTGAAATGGCAAAGGCTGCAAAAGACAAGACCATGGATGCTGCCGGAGCTGTGGCGGAGAAGACGAAACAGACAGTGGCTGGTGCTTGGGATGCCGCCAAGGGGACGTCACATAAGATCAAAGAGAAGGTCGTTGGGACATCATCGGATGACGATGACGACAACGATGATTGGGGTAACGATAGTTTGGGAAAACCGAAGGTGAAGGACGAAGATGCGAAGAATCTGAGGAGGAAAGTTGGTAATCTTGATCATGAGAAAAAGGATTTCTAGCTTATTTCCATATTTTGCCCATTTTATGGGGTTGTTTTTAGATCTTGGATACTTGTGTTGGTGAAATAATGGTCCAAGAGTAAAGAAATATGATAAGTATATATAATATGCAGATTATATATGTGATTCTTGCATGAAAAAGGGATTCTGTTTGATTATGATTTGGTGTAGAATAAAGGGGGCTGATTCAAAGGGATAGCTGTAGCTTATTGATGCTGTAAAGTGGTCAGACAGTCTTAATAAGAGGGGGAAGGGTTGACTGCTGCTCCATTGCAATACCCGACCTCTCCATGGCATGAACAGGTTCGATTTCTCTAGTTTATCTCGATTTCTGTTGGTCGATTTGGTTTCGATCCATATCTCAAATGGAACTTGATGCAACAAAGTAAGGCCAAAAAGTTTGGAAAAACGAAAATCATGGTTAAATGAGTTCCTATTAAGTTTTACCCAACTACTGTAGATAAAAGATCGGATTGGTTCGCTATGCAACTCGATGATGCTTGACGCAAAAAACCGAAGGGTATCGAGCATCATCGATCGCCTTCGATTTACTCATAGGAACCTATTTAATTTGTCCGGAAAATGGTTTGAGGCGTTGTGTGACGGGGAGCTCAAGCTTTTGAGAGTCTCACGAAGCTCAAACCTTAAGTCTTACACGTCACTACGAGAACATGACGTTTTAAAAGGGGTGACATAAGGCGATAATTTTGTATCTCATATAATAGATATATATATATATATATATATATATGTATATTATAGGCGAAGGATCTTGTGAGAGGAGTTTTTGTGAGAAGTGTAAGAAGAGATTGGTTACTTTTCGGTGCATCTCATTTTAATGTGCATCTAATGACGGAGATCCCTGTTATGCTTCTCAATTTAAGTCTTTTTCCCAACGGAACCCAACCCATTATGTATATGCACATATATGTTTTCTATTTATTATTTAATAATATGATGATATTAAAAAAAATTACATTCATATAAATTTGTGATCAAATATTCAAAATAAAACTTGGAAGAGTTCTATAACTTTATTTTAACCGTGAGTCCGTAACATATATGAATCCACGAAATTGTGAGTGATGTGATTAGCAAAGTTTGTAAAAATATAAAATCTAAAGTTAAAAGCGTAAAAACACAAAAGTTAAAAAAAATTAAATAAATTTCAAAAAATATCACGTCTTGTAAAAAGTGCATGTCATAGCGTGAGCCATGCCTTAGATAAATGTTACGGCAGAGACGTGCCTTACATTATAGTGCGCTTTTTTAAACCGCGAATAAAGAAATATAAGCATGTTTTTTCCAATTGTTGAGTATTGAGGCATAATTTTTGATATAGGAGCCTCATTAAACATATAAAGTTAAATTTCCCTTCTAAATTTACATTATTTTACTAAATAAATTTTATTTTTAAAGTCAACTAACCTATAATATTTGTAAGTAGGGGTTATCAAAAACCCGATCAACCCAACCCAATCCAATGTGAAATAACTTAACTCGAAGCAACCCGATATCTAATCGATTGTAAATTTTCAAACCGTAGGTATTGAGTTGATATTGGTTTACTATTATTTGAACTCAAACCAACCCAATGAACCTAATTAATATTCTTTTATTTCTTAGATTTAATTTGATTGTTGAATTTCTATTAATATATACATTAGACAATTACACTATCATGTACGCTCTTCATATACACGTATTTTTAATCTATTCACATCTCTATATAACTCATTCGTATATATGTTCAGTAACCGTGGATACATATACGTAAATTGAGAAAATTAACTGAATGTATATATGTTCAGTAACTGTTAACACATATATGTGAATTGAGAAAATTAACTGAATACGATATACATAAGAAGTATGAATAAGTTGTATCAAATGGTTGATGATGAAAAAGAAATTATGAGTAGAGAAATAACATATTCAAGGTTAGAAGAATATTTTAATATACCAAAGTATCAACCCCACCAACCCGTATGGTTTGGATTGTGTTGCATTTTGGTTTGGGTTAGGTTAAGTTAAGATTTTTCAAATCGCAAACATTAGAATGAATTGTTCAAATGTCTTCGATCCAATCACTCCAACCCAGTATTCGGAAAGTCTCCCAAAGAATGGTTCCTTTCTTATGGTCTTCGGAAAGTCTTTATAGAACACTATTGTCTATTAAGCTATTTGGGTGTATGTGCCAGATGTATTAAAGAAAGAAACAACCGTGAGAAGGAGAAAAGGTATCCCAAACCCTCATCTTTCTTTTAGATTCAGCAAGAAAAGCATCTGAACCCCTTCAAAGTTTCAATCTTTCTTCTCCATTTCTAGTTTCAATCTTTCTAAATCTGACTTCTAAAATGGCTCAAGTGAATGATGATGATGATGATGATGAGATTGAACAACATCTACTGGATAGAATCAAGCATGCCATTGATGACCAAGGTGAGAACAAGAATCTAGTGATCAAATTTGGGCCAGTTAAATCTGAATTTGATGACTTGTGGAAAATACTCGTAGAAAGAAGAAATCAAACTCACGGAGATGATTGGTTGAGGATGAGAAGAGAGAATCTTTATTGCCTCAATAATTTGTTGACCGAATGGCTGAACATCAAGAATCAGAGCTCATTCTTCTCCAAGGAAAGTTATGATTCTCGTGAGAATATCAAGAAAATCTTGAAGAAGATGAAGAAGAAACTCGATGGTGACCAAGAATCCAAACCAGGAGAGGATTCTGAGAAGTCTCGTAGTCATCATCAGATACCCGATCATACAATCTTTGAAAGAAACAAAGAGGAGGTTTACCGGTGGAGTTCAAGGTATCCACCGAGGAAAGTTCATGGTTTTGAACACATAGCCATGGCGGTGGAGAGGGATCTTGTTATGCGGAACATTGATGCTCCATATAAGGTATTTGGGGTTGTGGGTGTCGCCGGAATCGGAAAAACCACTCTTTGCCAGACCATTTTTGGCCGGTCATTAGTCAAGAATCATTTCTCTCCGAGGATCTGGGTGTGTTTATCCAAACAACACAGAAACAATGAACCCAATAAAGAGATAGTTGTGAGGATCTTGGAGAGTCTTGGAATCGAAGATGAAGTTATTAGAGATGTAGCAGATGGAACTGATTCACTCCGGCGACTGATTCTCCTTCTCCGGCTTCATCTGATCGGAAAAAGGTACTTGATAGTCCTCGATGATGCTTGGGATCACAACAATTTCTTCTTGAATTTGACTGGAAAACCACAATTGGATGACAACTGGGGCGAGGAGTTAGCATACGCGTTGCCAAAAGGGTGTGGTGGAACAATCATTTCGTCGAGCAGGTCGGAGGCATTACTTAAAGAGATGATCGGAAAAGATGCTAACTTGCAGCATCTGAAGCCAAATACCGACGAGATCATCTACGAGATATTCAAAGACACGGTGATTGGATATGATGAAGATGAGAGGGAATTTCCACAGCATTTGATAGATTTGAAAAAGGAGATACTTAGAAAGTGCGAAGGAATACCATTGGCTGCAAAATTGCTGGCCAAAATTGCTCGGGAAGAGCTGAAGGTAAAGCCGCAGCCGCTACCAGCAACAACCGCCGGTGAAGGAGATGATGAGAATAGACCGGTATCTTCCGGTGGTTCGAAACAGTTGAAAGGCGGTGGCACCGGTGTTAAAGATGGTGAGCGCAAGGGTGATGTCCTTCAGAAATCAAAGCACCAGAATGGTCTCGTTCCGGCGGCATAAACGGCCGACGAAGTAATCGGAAATTGAAGCTCCGTTAACACTTATAAAGTTATCCTATCGTTGTGTGTGTTTTCCTACTCCTTTTTAAATTAATAAAACAAAAATGGAATTTTAATTTTAATTTTAATAAAAAGGTTATTTCCCTATTAAAAAAGCCCAAGCCTAAATACCGGTCCCCTAAGCCCAGCCCGAGAAGGCATGAACTTATTAATCACGGGCCTAGTTTTGGCCCGACCTTAAAGCCCATTTTTCTCAAGACAAAAACGGTTTGACTCGATGTTTCAATCCCAAAGTTTGACCTGGGGTAGACCATACTGGGCCTTAAACGGTCAAGTTCTTTTTGCTTACTGAGAAACAATTTTAGAAGGTCCGAGCCTTCTGCATCTCTATTCGTTACTGTCTTTCTCTCTCGCATATCAACATCAAGGTTCTCGTTTATACATTTTCAAAGCCCCTGTATGACATAAAAGACGTGAGAATGGCAAAACGCCGAAACCCTGACAAAAATATGATGAAGTTCTATAGATACGTTTGTTTGAAAATGGATTTGAATAAAATCGCCGACATTTTATCATTTTATAAATAATTAAGGTATAAAATATGATTAGAAAAGCTATATTATTAAAATAATAATATATTGTACTTTTGAGTAAAACCGACTCGACACTATTTTTAAGGAATGCGGAATGGAAATGAAAAAAAAAATCAAATAATCCAGATCAAAATGTAATTGTCTCATTTGTCCAAAACAGTTCATATAAGTTTTCTAGGTTTTTCTTAATATTCCCTCTCTCTCTCTACATACATACATACACACACGTGCATGCATATGCATATACATATACATACATACATACATACATACATATATACATACATGCATGTAACACAGAGGTGATCATTTGCGGGCCTAACTTGTTTTTTTTGTCCAACAGACCTAATATTGTAAAGTCAAGTCTTTTTTTTTCGGGTTTGACAACTTGACATTGCCCGCCCTATAAACGGGTCAGGCTTGCCTACGGGCTAACGAACCTAAAGTAAAAGGTGTAACTCTTATAAATTTATAAACTTGATCACTAGCTATTAATTAACAAATGTGGAATCAAAAAGTAAAGAAAAAACATCGTTGCAATCAAAACTTTTAAGCAAATAAAGTGACAAATGAATCTCAACAAGTAGAGAAAGAAATGAAAACAAAATTCAAACTTTCATAAAATCAATAATGCATTCCTATTTTTTTTGTATAACATTAATATTCATATTAAGAGGTAAACAAACAACCTTTTAGCCTTGTGGATTCTCAAAAATAATCAAGGAGTCAAATCCTATAACTTTAATAATTTAATTTTAAGATATATACTAGTATAATTTTAGTTAATGGTACAAAAAAATATACACAGGCCTGTCCATATATATTTTTATATTGCTCATGTTCGCTTGCTAATTTTAACGAACAAACCCGACTCCATCCATTTTTTCGATAATGGTTGTCCTAGCTCGTATTTCTAGCAGGCCAGACGGGTTAAATCTAACGGGTCATCTCACCCATGATCAACTCTAATGCAACATAATTTAAAGTAGAATTTAAAATTTATAACCATCTATTTTTTGAAAATATACATTTGTTTTGTGATAATTTGTATAAAAATATAAACATTTATTTTTAGACAGGATAAATAATCTATTAAAACTATTATTAA